CCCTAGGAGTTGCCTAGCTCCCACGGGTATAATTTTAAATTTAAAATTTACTGGGAGGAATTTTAACCAAGGAAGACAGTGGGAATAACTTTCAGTCAAAGACTTTTTATTTTTATGTGCCGTGTCCTTTCAGGACGTAGGCGATTATGGCTCTCCACATCCTCCTATCCTTTGTAGCTCTCAATAAGTTTCATGCCTCTGCCAATTCCCCCAGACCACGTTTTAAGCCCGCCAGGTATGTCATGCGTTGCTTTCCCTTGTCCCTTTTCCCCTCAATTCGACCTGTATCAGATTTTCCCGGCCCTAAGAACGCAAAAATGGCAAAGGAATTTATACTGTTTTTAAAGGGATAGTAATCGAAATCCTAATGTGTATTGGGATAGCGAAAGATGCCTTCCAGAAGCAAAGCAAGGTATTAACAAAACAGGAACATTTCGTTAGAACCCATCAAAATAATTATGCAATATCGATCCTCTTATATGACAATGAATGCTGGACAGTATCACTGAGATGAAAACTAGGAGCAAAAGAAATGTGGTTCTACAGAAGGATGCTGAGAATTTCTTCGGCGGGGAACGCATGCAACAAAGAAATCTTAAAGTAAGTAGAAACATAAAAGGACACATATACAAAATTAAATAGAAACAGGTGAATTTTCTTGGATACTTAACGAGGAAGGATGGCTTGGGGAATTTGACACTGACAAGGCGTATGAAGAGGAACAGGTGAGAACAGCAGCAGATCTACCTGACGAACGTGTGAATGGATGCCGAAACGGGGAGCAGGGGATTTGGCATAGGGACAAATGTTGTTAAAGGTTACAATGGATAGGAAGATGTGGAGTACCATGATCACCAACGTTGTGGAGAGAAACGGTACGTAGAAGAAGAATGTTGAGAAAAGCCGTTTCCATACAAGAAACATTGGTCGTTCCATTTTTGTTGGTTGGTTATTGAAAGTGAACGAAACGAAGATGGACAATAAAAGAACAGATTTCAAGAAGAGATACATGATGATTGATATTAAATTCAAAGTTTTGAAGATCGAAATTGACAAGATTGGATTTGGATTTGTTTGGCCGCATATCAACCTCTATGGGTTATTGTTATGACCAAATTAAAGAAATAACAAACAAGTGTTGCAGATATATGATATATTAAACAGTAACTACAACAGTAGAGTATTACACGATTAGTAAATGGGTGTCGGTTTACCCAGCGTTGAATCTGTTCGACTACTCTCTTACTAATCTTATAGTAGGCGGAAAAGTCCAACATAGACTCTTTAGAGAGAAGACACCACGATATTTATTGCAAAAATTTACTATTATGGCACAAGGCCGAAAAAGGGGAGGGGTTGAGGCTGGTCTCAACTAACTATCCTATACCTAGCTAATCCGATTCAAGATCCATTCATACATTACAGCATATATATATATATATATATATATATATATATATATATATATATATATATATATATATAGAGAGAGAGAGAGAGAGAGATAAAAGAAAGAAAGAAAGAAAGAAATATGTGACAATCATTAGGAACACAAAGGGAAAATACCTTATGAAAATGAAATCTCATTGTTTTTCGATGAATTATTCAATGTGAATATTAAATATTAAAGAAAAAAATTAATGATTAAATGGGAAACCTGTTTTTTTGACTATCTCTCTCACTCTCTCTTCATATATATATACATATATATATATATATACATATATATATATATATATATATATATATATATATATATATATATTTTACACACACACACATATATATATATATATATATATATATATATATATATATATATATATATATGTATGTATGTATGTATATATTGTGAGCAAGTAAATGGTTAAAGAATTAAAGAAGAAGAAGAATGTTGAGAGGAACTGTTTCCATACAAGAAACATTGGTCGTTCCATATTTCTTGGTTGGTTATTGAAAGTGAACGAAACGAAGATGGACAATAAAAGAACAGATTTCAAGAAGAGATAACATGATGATTAATATTAAATTCAATGTTTTGAAGATCGAAATTGACAAGATTGGATTTGGATTTGTTTAGCCGCATATCAATATGGGTTATTGTTGTGACCAAGTAAATGGTTAAAGAAATAACAAAACAAGCGTTAAACAGTAAATACAACAGAAGAGTATTACACGACTAGTGAGTGTGTGTCGGTTGACCCAGCGTTCAATCTATTCGACTGTTAGATTTACCAGCCTCCTCACGAGGTCGAGTTTAATATGAGGCAATCCGAGCCCGAAGGCTCAGCCAAAAATTCCCCAGAGACCTCTGGGGTAGCTGTTTCCCAAGACGAGACTCTGCCCTTCGAAAATAGACTCGTCTGGGGATCCTCTCTACCCGGAGGCAGTGAGTTTGACCAGCACAGCTGGAACAGATCTATACGACTGATCCCGCAAGGCCCTCTCTCCTACTAATCTTATAATAGGCGGAAGAGTCCAACATAGACTCTTTAGAGGAAGGACACCACAACAGTTATTTAATGCCAAAATCTAAATATTTTGATTGGTTTGGTTTGGTTGGTTTTGTTTAGCGGCATATCAACCTCTGTGGGTTATTTAATGTCGAAATCTAAATATTTTGATTTGGTTGATTTTGTTTAGCGGCATATCAACCTCTATGGGTTATTCAATGCCGAAATCGAAATATTTTGAATGGTTTGGTTGACTTTGTTTAGCGGCATATCAACCTCTATGGGTTATTTAATGTCGAAATCTAAATATTTTGATTGGTTTGGTTTGGTTGATTTTATTTAGCGGCATATCAACCTCTATGGGTATTTAAAACTGTAATCTAAAAATTTTAAACACAATTTTATGGCTTCAACTAACGATATTTTGAACATGATTGTATACTTTCAACTACAAAAAATGTGTTGCTGGTCGTGTATTGTCGGTCTTTTTATTTAAAAATTTATCGCTGGTATTTTTATTATTAAAATATCTTTTTATACTATCATTTTTTTTTTGTTTGGGGGATCATTACTTACACGAAGCTTGAACCCTAACTGGATCTACCACCCCGGGTCAGGGTGTACCTGGAAACAGCAATTAATATGTGATTCCAAGCTAGTCAAATACTTCAGTCTACCGATCAGAGGCCTTGCTGCCGGATGTAGTTTATCGTTATATCCAGGACTGGCTTTCATTATTCGAACACTTAGTGTCACTGTCGGTTGAAATTTATAAAATCGTTTTATTAAAATAGCTGGGTTTTTTTTTCAGGGGCTCCTTGTACGTGGCGTATCCTTTCCGAATATCCTGGGGAGTTTTCAAGTTTTAATTTTCTTAAATTTAATAAAGTGTTTCCATAAACGAAAATCCATTAAACTTCACGTGACGTGCACACGCACGCACACACATACATACGAAAGCTGAAAGCAGACCGTAAAAATCCTAGCCAAACCGGATATATGGTTAATCTCTCTCTCTCTCTCTCTCACACACACACACACACACACACATACCGGATGTAACAGCAAAATGGCCCAAATCGTGTAACAGCAAAACTGTTCATCCCATATATCTAAAAAAAAAAAAAAACACTAAACTAATTCATCTTCATCTTCATTAAACTACATCCGCCTCCTGGGTAAGATGTTAAACTATATCCGTGTCCTGTGTGTAATATTACCAGCAATAAAAAATTTTGTCAGCATTAAGTAACCCATTGAGGTTGATATATGCCGTAAAACAAAATGAACCAAACCAATCTAAATCAAAGAATACATATTCTATTCATACGAATCTATTCTAAAAATGTAGTCAGCATTAAATAAGCCAATGAGGTTGATATATATATATATATATATATATATATATATATATATATATATATATATATATCCTATAGGAGGGTATATGAATAATAATAAAATTTATCAATCTAGCATGTTATGATTTTAATAAAGCTTCATCAGAGAATGAAATGTGGTGAAAAAAAGAAAATTTTGGAAGATTTTATTTTTGTGTTGTTTGATTTTTATTGGTTAAGCAGGTTTCAGTTGCTTTTCATTGTTAGGCATTGTTAGTACAATTGATGGCTGCTTAAAAAGTCAAATTCAAGAGAAGCCTGCTAAACTAATGGAAATCAAACAACACAGAAGTACAAATACCATAATTCTTTTTTCTCTCTCCATATTTCATTCTCTGATGTAGTTTTAATAAAAACGAAAGACGTTAGATTGATAAATAGTTATTATTTGGTCTTATCCTGTTGGACTCCGATGTATATTTGATTTCATATAGCACGCTTAAATTCCTAGCTCGTCAGAGCAGATGTCATGAAAATATTTATAGAAATGGCAGTGGGAAGATACATTTTATGAATATATAATTGAATAAAATGTAAGTGTACTTTATATTTTAAGAATAAAAATTGACAAATAAAACGGAAATATATTTATGACACAGCCTAATATTTCAATACTATTAAATGCTTACCTGACGTAAATAAACTGTCATTATTTTATTATCATTTCCTGATAAAATGAAGAAAGCTTATATTCCAGCGTGTCTTATTGATGTGGGACTTGTAAGGTATTGAGGTTTTCGACGTGAACGCGTTTCTCGAATTCTTCATCGCCACTGATGTGGGCCCAAAGACCGGACCACGGAAGGAAAACACGGAACACGGATTAGAGGTAAGAAAGATATATTAAACAAAAAGGTTAAAAAGATAGTGTAAGTGTAAGCGGACCTTACTATGTGCTAGTGTCCAATATTGGTAGTCGTACGCGGCTGATACTACGGTATTAGAATACTCTCTCTCTCCCTTTCCTCCTCTTCTCCTAGAGTGTTATATCGCATACTTTATATAGTCCTGGAAGAGTCCATGTTGTAGGTATGTTACGGTCTCACAACACTTATATAACCGTCAGTGCTACTGGCTATCATAGACAGGAAATATTTTTTCTCGAATTCCACTCAAATATTGAGAAAAAAAAATGATTATTACTTACCTAAAATCGCCATAACTATTTCGTCTTTAGATATTTCTATAGAACCTGAAGCTATGAAGTAGATAGAATGTAAGATGTCTCCAGGGTGGATCAACGTATCCCCTGGAGGGGCGTGTGTAGACCGAAATTTCATAGACAAGACGCGTAGGCAACCTGAAAAGACAGAAAAAGAAAAAGATTATTGAATCTTAATTAGGATATTAATTAATTAAAATAACATAAATATCACATTTTTTTTTAGCCTGGTCCGTAACCTTTCAAATAAATCTCCAAGACATCTGGCATTTATATAAAATTATAACTTTACGAGAAGAGATCAATAAGTCCGTGTCCCGACATGGACATAGATGAATACTGGACTTTAAAAAAAAAAAATCATTTTACCGCAAGCAAGGCAATGATGCCACTAAGACACAGAGGATTACTGGGAATGAAAAACTTAGTGAGGAGAAAGGACAATAAAAGAACAGGTTTCAGAACCACAGAAGATTGTGATTAACGTTTCATTTAAATTTTTAAAGAACGTAGGTGGCAAGGAAGTAAGAAACAGTAAGAAAGTTCCATGGACGAGAAGTGAGAGAAAATATAGTTTTAGAATAGAACTTGAGGTTACATGTAGCTATTTAAAAAGTAAAGTAATGAAACCTAGTTGCCAATCTTGTACTACGTTTAAATTCATGCAGTCGGGGTAAAAATGAGAGCAGAATCCACAATCTCAAAGGCTGTGATATCTTTGGCTGAATATCTGGCTTCATTTAATAGGTCTTACCAAATCGTGTAATTAATATCATTTTGAACGGCTACTCTTCTAGATCATTTCGCATTAATGCAGTTAACCCTAAATCTCTATCCTTTGACATGTGGTGGTACTCATCTTCATCAAAGGCCTTCCAGATATCAATAGTTCCTTACTAGACATTTATGCTGATAACAATACATTTCACTTAATAATAACTCCGATACGTCTGGCAAAGCGGCAAACTGGTAACTACTCTCGAAAATGACCCCCAATTTTAACGCCTCCAAACTGCTATATTTTAATCAAAATATAGAACTTGTTTTGACTTTCATCCGCATAACAGATGCTAATTTCCAGGCAAGCAACTCATTGCACCTTGCGGTCTCACGTCTTTCTACAGTTTTTCTTTTTCTTACGTTATTAACGCCCCACGCAATACAAAGTCCAAAAGCCACTCAAAGTAGAGAGCTTATTGAAAGAAGTCGTTATATACCCACTTGCAAGCGATAAGAATTTCAGATTATGTAGGCAAGATAACGGCTGATCTTGGACTTGGTATAGATTGTAGTGATTATGGAGGCAGCCTCCCGGGAGTCTGTTCCACAAAGCAACGGCTCTTAGAAAAAGTGTACAAGGTCGGACGAGTCCTACCTGTAAAGTAATCAATTGTTGGAAACTATGGAATGTAGCTAGTCAGAACATTTTCCATTTGTCTGTGTTCAGTATTTATCGATCCACCCACGAGGATAGAATGTGGCACAAGGCCGGTTTAATGTGGGTATCCCCGAGCCCGTAGGCTCGGCCAAAAATATAGCCTTTTTGAACCCGCCTAGACGGGTTCAGGCCGTGTCTACCTCGCCGAACAAAACCTTGCCCTTCGGCAAAGCTTCGTCCGGGTTCCTCTCTGCTAATGCAGAGAGTTCGACAGACGCCGACTCGGAAGCTCACAAAGGCAGCGTACTACACTTTGATCCTAGTCTCCAGGCCGAGCAGCTCATTTGTCTGTGTTCTGCCACCCATGCCCACAAACTCAGGTAAGTAGGTGGTCATGGCCCTCCATAAGTTTTGTCCTTTTACAATCCCTCTTTTTCCTTGTCTGGCATCCATTCAAACACACTCAATAAGTAGGTGGTCATGGATCTCCACAGCATCCTCTCTTTTTTGGCTCTAAGTAAGTTTTGTCCCTTTACCACCCTTTTTTCTGCTATTCTTTCACGCAAACTCAGTAAGTTGGAGATCATGGCTCTCCACCACTTCTTCTACTTTGTTTCTTTTGTGCCTTTACAATCGTTCTTTGTCCTTGTCCTAAGGCTCATTTATAGAGTAGCGATAAGCTTCCGAAGTTTCGTCAGTGGGAAACAGGCTGACGAGGTTAATTCATTCGGATTTTTAAAATTATTAAGTGCCGTGTCAATAATGAAGAGAATTAAGGGGCTTGACATGGAAAGAGATTATGCTAAAAAATAAATATTTGTTTTATAAAATATACATAAAGAACTGAAGTACGAAAAACAGAATATTGAAGAGCCCAGCTCTCTGTGAATTGTAGATATAGTTTCAGACTAATGACGTATATGTGACGTAAGAGGTAAAGAGGTAGTGTAGCTGTGATAGTGTAGCTGTGTGGTGTAGAACGTGGGTAAGATTCAAAAACCAACAAACATAAATGAGTTATCGACAGCCCTGGAGCGTATAGGGATTTTCCAAGCGTAGCTTAGATGTGGCGCAAGGCCGAAATTAGTGGGCACCCAGTGAGGATCGAACTCACTAGTCAGTCGTAATTGTTTTAGCGAGGCAAGCTTGCTAACCATTACACCGCCTCGAGGTGCCCAAGATTTTCCAAGCGTAGCTTAGATGTGGCACAAGGCCGAAAGCATGGGGCATCCAGTGAGGATCGAACTCACTTTTCAGTAGTAACTGATCTAGCAAGACAAGCTTGTTAACCATTACACCACGCCGAGGTGTCCTAGCCCTGGAGCGTATATGGTTAGTTAGAGACACCTAACAAATTTAATGAAAAAAACATAATAACAATAATAATGATGGTGGAAGATAAATTAAACAGAAATGGTAATCGCCGGTCCTTTTGAGACAAGGATAGAGAAAAGAAGAGAAAATAACCAAATTTTACCATTTAAATTTGAATTCACGATTGACTAGTGGAACAGTTACAAACAAGAAACCTCTTAGAAATGGCGGGAATAATCCCGAAGGGTTGAAGACTTAGAGTCAGAAAAAACTTGCATCATGCCTAATGCTGATGGCTGTCGCCCGCTCTCCATGCAAAAATCCACATATATTCAGATCCAATCAGGGATAATATTGAAATAAAGAAATACCCTGATATAACATCAGGTATGGCTGTGTATTGTGTATTCTTTTGTATTTTACTTTGTTAATCCCTAGATATTTAACCGCGTTGGTGTCTCTGACCTTAGTTAAATTAGGGCTCATTTAAACATACATGGAGACTTACAAAACTCTATCCGTAACATACTTGTAGAAAATACAACGATAATAGCAGAATCCACGTGTAAAAAAATGTTAAAATAATGGAAGAATTTTTAATAAAAAAAAGAAAAAGCCAACAGACAGTAGCATCACCTATGAACACGATCAAAATATGCTGACCGTGTTTGAAAAAAAACAAAAAAAAAACAAACATTCCCATAGCTCTAGATACATACATAAAATTTACACATTCAGTTAAAAATAAAATTTAAAAGCATTTTTGATAATGGTTAAAAGAATAGCCGAAAGCGGTCGGACATAGAGAACATTCTGTCAATCTTTACACACTTTATGCCTAGAAAAGATAAAAAAGA